CCGGGGGAGCACCCCTGCCCCTGGGAAGGGAACCACAACCAACGGGAGATGCGCGGCAGGCTCCTGCGGGAAGAGTCAGGCCGCCCCTGCCTTGGAGCCAAGGGAGAATACCTCACTGCTAATAGGAAGCCCTCTCCCAGCGCCTGCACCCCTTTCCCCTTGCAGCCTTCCAACCCGCTGTCCCAGCCCTAAGCCTCCCCCTGCACCCCTGCCTCTACCTCGGTCCCCACCTAAGCCCCCTCCTGGAGCCTGCACCCTACCCCCTGTCCTGAGCCCCCTCCTGCACCCAACTCCCAGAGCCTGCACTTCATACCCTTTCCTGCCCTACCCCTCAACCCCTTGACATACCCAAACTCTGTGCCCAGGCAAGAGCCCGTAAGTCTTCCCTGATTTTTCAGCCCCCTGGCCTGAGCCCTCCTGCCCCGAATCCTGCACTTCCTCCTGCCCAGAGCCCCCACCCTCTGCCCTGACTCCTGTACCCCTTGTCCCTGCCCTGAGTCCCCCGTATACCGAACATCATACCCTGACTCCTGCACCCACCATAGCCTGCCCTGAACCCCCACAAGGATTCAAGCAATGCCAGATAAATACTGGGAATACCGTATCCTATCCTTTAGAATTAAAAATCTGTTATTTATATCTTTACACAGATTCTATTTATGTGCTTTCTTGCAGTAAATTTATAACACAACACTATATATTGTGTATATATATCAATTCATGAGTAGAATTATAAACCTTAAGATTTCAATATCTGCACAGAAGAGAAAATGCACAACTTCCAGTAACAATGGAAAAGTCTTAGAGCTACAACTTTAAAATCAACAAGCAGTCCTTTGGCACCTTAGGGCACGTCAAAACTAAGGGGAAGGTCAACTTAAGATATGCAACTCCAGCTACTCAGAAGCTTGATAGTAGTAAAATCCCCCATCTGCTTTCCTTATTCCTCATGAGGAGCAGGACTACTGGGGCTGACAGGAGCACCCTCTCAGTTCAAATTAGCAGGTCTTCTCTAAACTAGTTAAATCAAACCCAGGAAGATCGACTGTGGCAGTGTCGATCTTCTCCATAGTGCAGACATGGCTTCAGAAACTAACAAATATATCATGAGCTTTCGTGGGTAAAACCCACTTCATCAGATGAGTTGTAATGGAAATTATAGAATGCAGAATATATATAGGCAAAAGCAATAGAAGTCTGGTGTTCTTCTCACTGTGCAGAAGAGAATGGATTTGGGCATCTTTCGCCTTCATCTATCATTTTATTTCTGGAGAGAGCCCAGGACTGGGCTAGCAGTGTCCTGTAGGTCAGGAATGAGGGGCTCTAGCAGACCTGAAGGCTAGCCCTTGATCCCTGGATGGAGGATGGAGCCAGGGGCAAGCACAGGAGGGCAGAATGGGATGGACAGGATTCCCGCGGGGCAGTGCAGAGATGGTACTTTCCTCTGTGCACCAGAAGAGGGTCCTTGGGAATTAATTCCCTCTCTCTCCAACTGAGCTGCAGCTCTTCCAGGCAACAACAGGTGCTATTCCCACCCTCCTGGCTGGGAGGCTGATTAAGGTTACTTCTTGTAACCTGAGTTTTAGTGTCTGGTCACCACTGCTGAACAGACACTGTCAAATCCACTTTTTGACCAGTCTTTTCAGTAAAAAAACAGACACCTGACCACAGGGGCACTAGAATGGCGTACTCAGGGGACCGTGGTCTCCACTTTTAAAAGTGGAAGGGCTATGCTCTCCCACTAAGTTCCTGCCTTAAAGGCAAGTGACAAGGTTAGGAGAAGAGAAGAGCAAGTGGCAGGTAAGCCCCCCAGGGGAAGAGGCAGAGTCAGGAGAGGGCCACAGTCTGGACATCTGTGTGGCTCCCTTCTAAGTGTTGGCATGGCCCCATTGTAAACCCAGTACTGACTGCTGATAAAAGTTTCTATGTAGAGAGATACAAAAAGCAAAGAAGTAGTTAAGACAGTTCAGTATTTCAACAGCTTCAAAAAGAATCGGGTGGAAATATTCAGACTTTTCCTTGGCAGCAAGAGCTTGACATGTATGAACCAAATAATGAAGCTAACATGACACCTGGGAAATCTGAATGATTAAGGAGACCTTCTTGCTTCAGTATGTGATTTTGACACTTTAAGTATTATTTTTAAGGATGCAAAATACTTTTACACAATTTTTTTAAAATATGCACTTGTACACTATTGCTAGTTTCTGACTCAACCATGACATGGGCATATTTCTTAGAGTAGATTTTTTTCCCCAGTAGCTAAGTGTTTTTTATGAGTTTATCATGAACACTTGAATAGTGTCATGCATGTTTGCAAAACAACATCTTTTGACTGTTTACAGTTATTTGATCTCTTAACATCAGTCACTTGCTAGTCACCATACTAAGCTAAACTGCTCCTTTTTGTTACACAAACAGCAAATTCTACTAAGTACAGCAATATGTTTTGAACAAATGTTTTGTAGTCATTAATAAAAATGTTTTGACTTAGTAAAAGAAAAAAATGGAGATCGTATGAGGAGATCCGGTATAAGGCCTAAGTGATCAAAACAAACTTCCTGGGACATCAAATAGAAAAAAAACATGACTGTGCAGGTGAAATTAAGATGTTTGGCCATTGTTGTCATGATAGTATACATCAAAGGAGTCCACACACTCTCAATGAATGACCAATTTCCATTAGAAATTCCAGAGAATTTTCTCCAACAGATAATAACTATATTAAACTAAGCTGAATTTGTACAACTTTTTAATACTTAATGATTTCTTCATTCAACAATGATTCTGTGTGAAATCGGGATATAAACATTAAGAACTACAAATTAAAAAGTGACCATGTTTAATTATTGTAATTGTTCAACGAATAATACTCGTTTTCTTTGTCAAAGTTACAGGAATACAACCATTGTTTTTCTATAAACTATAATTCAATCAAGTGCTACTCTTAGGGTATGTCTAGACTACATGGCTCCATCAACGGCGGAAAATGAAGCGGCGATTTAAATAATCACTCTTCATTTACATCAAAATAGCCACCGTGCTGTGCCGATCAGCTGTTTGGTGGCACAGCGAGGCAGTCTGGATATGCCGCAGTCGACAAGGGAAGCCTTTGTCGACCGCTCCGGTATGCCTCGTGAAAGGCTTCCCTTGTTGACCGCGGCGCGTCCAGACTGCCCCGCTGTGCCACCAAACAGCTGATCGGCATAGCGCAGCAGCCATTTTTATGTAAATGAAGCAGCGATTATTTAAATCGCCGCTTCATTTTCCGCCGTTGATGGAGCCATGTAGTCTAGACATACCCTAAGAGTAGCACTTGATTGAATTATAGTTTATACCAAAATAAAGACTAGACTTTATATTTCTGTTAAATATGTGTTTTTAGCCAGTTCATCATATCCTTTCTTGCTTCTTCAATATAAGGTTTATCACGAGGTTTCATATCTTCTGGCTTTAACTCTGCAAAACCATGAACTTGTCCAGGATAAACTTTAATTCTGTATTCAACTTGACAGTACTGTTTCAGTTTCTCCTCCAATAATATAACCTGTAACACAGAACATCCTTCCATTACTGTGTTGTTTTTAATTTTTGTTTAACTTGTCAGCTCTCAGTTTGTCCGTTTTGTTTAGCTTTGTTGAAGATGTAGTCAGTGTCTTCTTTACTTATGTAACACTCAGGCCAGATTCGATTACAGGCTCTTAAGTAATAAAAAAACCTCATCTTTGAAATATGATTTTATGACAGATATGCCAATTTCCTCCCATATCCTTAAAAAAGCCTCAATGAATTACGTTTCAGAGTTTGTGGGGGCCGTTGTACCAAATACATTTATGTATTATTGTGGGCCAGGATTGTATGCAACCTCTGTAGGGGCATGTCAATACTGCAGGGCAAAAGTCAAATTAAGATACCTAATTTCAGCTACGTCAATTACATATCTTAAGTCGAAATAGCTTAATGCAGCTTTTGGCGCTGTCTACACAGCAGGAAGTCGAAGGAAGAACACTCTTCCTTCGTCTTCCCTTACTCTTTGTGAAATGAGGGTTACAGAAGTCATAGTAAGAAGTCCCGCATCTCCAAATTATTTTGAAATAACAGCTTTTTGTGTAGATGTGCATTTTGTTATTTCAAAATAACAACAGCTATTCGGAAATAATGGAGCTGTGTAGCTACAGCATAAATCTACGTCTACATTACAGCACTATTTTGGGATACCAGAAGTACCCTGAAATAGCTATTCTGTATCTTTTGAGCGCGCCCGATATTTCAAAATATAACAGGCTTTCTGTTTCAACGTCCTGGTAAATCTCATTCTACGAGGAGTAAGAGATGTTTCGGAATAGTGATTTATTTCAAAATAAGTGCTGTGTGGACAATGCCAAATTTCAAAAGAAGCTATTTTGAAATAACATCGAAATAAGATACGCAATTTGCTTAGCTCAAATTGCATATCTTATTTCGACCTACAGTGCAGGGTATATGCACCCTGGGCTCGTCTAGACTACGCTGAAGTTTCGAAAGAGGATATGCAAATTCTGCGGGAATTTGCATATCTTCTTCTGATCTCACTTTTGAAAGCAGAGCTTTTGAAAGTGAAAGTAGTCGGGACATCATTTTGTCGGAACCACCCCCCCCATTTTCGAAAAGCCACGTAAACCTCCGCTTTCGAAAGTGAGATTGGAAGAAGATATGCAAATTTGCATATCCTCTTTCGAAACTTCAGCGTAGTCTAGACATAGCCCCTAAGAGGAGATCCAATATAAAGTTCAAGTGATCAAAAGATTCTATTGAATAAGGTGCCAGATAAGAATGGGGTTTCAGGACAACACATGTGGGCTGTGTCTAGACTGGCATGATTTTCCGGCAAAAGTCCCTTTTGTGCAAAGCTTTTGAGCAAAAGGGCCAGTGTAGACAGCTCAGATTTGTTTTCCGCAAAAAAGCCCCGATTGCGAAAATGGCGATCGGGGCTTTTTTTGCGGAAAAGCACGTCTAGATTGGCAGGGACGCTTTTCTGCAAAAAGTGCTTTTGCGGAAAAGCATCCGTGCCAATCTAGACGCTCTGCGGAAAATCAAGCCAGTCTAGATGTAGCCGTAGTGTGTTCAGATGTAAATAGGGAAGCATAGAGAATGAAGCCAGGGTTTGATACCTCACCCAGAGAGTTCCATTGCTGTCCTGCCTGTTACACTTGAAAGCTCTCCAGGAATTTTTTGTTTTTGTTTTTTTAAGAACTAAATAAAAAGCTCTTTGTAATAAAAGCACTTAAGAAGCAAAAATAAAGGTAATGTGCCTTGTGAAGCCTTAATTGTTTTCTCTTGCATGTATGCATTACAATGCAGACTTTGTCTATGTAATCACATAATATATTTTCCAAAGAGCAGAAGCCTTATTCAGTTTGCAGGGTGGGTGGTGAGATAGCATTGGGTAGTGATTGAGGCTGGGGAGGAGTACCCTGTTCTTCTTCTTAGAAACTGTACAGTGTGTTGTCCCGCACCCTAACTCTCTCAGGGGCTAGATGACGACTGGCAGTGGGTCATTGAGGCAAGGTGGGTATAGGGGAATTTGGGCTTTTCTGGGTGGGGAGGACCCCAGAATGCAAAGACTGATAAATATCCTCTTCCCCAGAAGGGGATGAGACACAACAATTGTGGGGCCTCCCAGGGGGCAATGTCCTGAAAGTGGGAGTGATGTGAGTCTGGAACTGACTCACAGAGGGGGTTATCTGGTGGGTAGATAGGAGCTATTGGCAAGAGGTACTGTGGTGATGAGTCTGCCCTTTGTCACGTGGGTATGACAAGTACAATATGTTCATTACTGCTCTTTGCTCTAACCAACTGCCTTTTCCCAGTATACCCAGACTGACAAGGTGACCTACCCAAAGTCACTCAGGCAGTTCTGGGGTAGGGATGAGAACTGAATCTGACCCCTGCAGGAGGACTAACAGACTTGCTGGGCTCTGGGGCAAGGTGGGAGTGGAGACTGGCTCTGTGGGTCAAGAAGGCACAAGAGGTGGAGCTCGGGCAGCTAGTCCTCAGCATCACCCAGACCATGCTTTGCCTCCCCCCAACCATTAGCACTTCCTGGAGTGCACCAGATCTCTGGCAGAGGTTTAAAGGGCCTGAGGCTCCAGCCGCTGCCTCTGCTGCTACCACAGTACCAGTGGCAGTGGCCAGGCCCTGGGGCAGTTGTCCTCTGCCCCCTCCACTTCAGTCCCATCGGTGGGCCTGGTCTCCAGAGTCTAAATTCAGTTGCCTAACCACGTGCCCTCTAAGAGGCAAAGCAAATAACCAAATGGTTAATGGATGGTTTGTATCCTGGCATCTCTCTGGACATGTTCAGCCCTTGCTTGCCATGGTACAAAGAGGCTGACCTTTCGCTCCGCCATGGTTTTTCTCCAGTCCCCCTGAAAGAGAACCTATACCAAGAGTGGACAATAATTTTTGATTGGGTGAGCGACCACTTGGTAAGTGGTCAAGGGCTGAACTTTTCCATGATATTAATGAAAGAAGTGCGGGGTCTAGGATGGAGGTTAGGTGCAGAAAGGAGCTGGGGGTAGGGATTGGGGTGCAGGACAGGGTGTGGGTTCTGGGAGGGAGTTTGCATGAAGAAGGGGGTTGTGGCCTGAGACTTATGTGAGCCAGATCTGGTGTCTTGACAAGATGGATCCAGCCTGCAAGTCATATTTTGCCTGGTCGTAAGCTATATAGTGGCTTCTATGTAAGCTCCAGGAGAAGCTAAAATATTGCTAGAAAAATCCAACTGCTCTGCTCTTTTATTTCTCTGATGGTTTCCTGGCAGGCCTACACAGATTATATTTAGTATCTGGAATTCTGCCTTATAAAAGTGTGACAAGAACAGAGAAATCTGTTTTCAGACAAATACTTACTTGGTCATGTGAGATGGTGTGATCTTTTTCCCCGAAAATGAAAAAGGTTGAGTTCAGCAAATTGTATCTGTCATCAGAGTCTCTGATTATTCCTATAACACATTTGGAAAGATGAGTTGTGAATTTAAATACAAACTTCTATTTGCTTCAGCAGTATTTATTTTTCATTATAAAAATGTACCATCACAAATGCTATGTACAAATGTAGATCAGCTTTAAAATCACACAGGGTGAGGCTTAATTTCCTTCAAGTGAACCAACAAGTGAAAGACTGCATATTAAAGTTGGCCTTGCAAGATACAAAGGTTGTTTCTTGGAAGCAATGAGGGCAGCAAATTTTATAGTCAACTGCCCCCTTCCTCATCCCCAAAACTGGGATGGCACATAAAAAGAAAGATGTGTAAGATAGACAGGATGCAAGTTGGACAGGGCTTTATAAATCAGCAAGTCTTGGCAATGGTATCCAACTGGTTTCTGGGGGTAGTTCAGACTGTGGCATATCAGTGTCTGAGACACAACACCAAGCAGATAAAAGAATCTGTATTCTGCAGTCCTGGAAATCAGAGTGGTCTTCAGGCTGATGTTCAGCACATTACAGCAATCTAACCTGGCAGTGGCTAAGGCATGCATAAATGTAGCTACATCTCTATCCAAAAAAAATGCTATACCTTCCTTGCCAAGCCAAAGTGAATGTACCCCACGTCACTACTGTACTAAGGAACCAACATGGTTCCCACATTGTGAAACTTCTTAATAGCCTGTGGATGTACTCCCCTCAGAATGGGCAGCAGAAGTTGTCTCCGCCATTGTCTGTGCCCAGCGTCCAGTCTAAACTTCTGAAATATCCCTATGATCTAGGCTCAGTTAAGCATTTAGCCCGTGAACAATGGATTTTCTCCCTCTTTCAGACTCCTTATATGCCAAGTTGTTCGCTTGTGCTCTGGGATATCCCAGTATGCATTATACCATGACAACACGGAGAGCAGAAAACCCTGCTGGAGCATAGAAATAGTTAAATGGAAATCAGGAAAGGCTTGTTTCTTGAGGCTAGTTTTTACTACAGGCTAAATACGTGCTGCTGCATATCGATGTGACAAGTCTGGCGAAGATACAGTAAGTTGACAGGACAGCAGTCTCCTGTTGGCATAGCACCGCTTTAAGTCAATATAAGTTACATCGACTTAAGTGTTGTAGCTTGTGTAGCTTAGAACAATTTACAGTGTTAGTGTAGACAAGGCCTTAGTATATTTCACAGATTAGCACGAATTTTCTTCTGATGGAGAACAAAAGATTTTCTGAGCAATTAGAGCCAGTGAGGATATTTCAGTGAAAAATGAATGGCATTTTCTGTTCTGTGAACATTTAAAATACCAACTATCCCTTTAGTTAGTGGGAGCATATAGTATATATTGCTGAAATCAACTGTTATATTTAAATCTGCAGGGCACCTGTAAGTTGAATACTTAAAAAAAAAATCTATCAAGAGCAGCATCTTAAATATATACGTCACATAATCAAGTGAGCCTGCTCAAATTTACATGCATTCTTCACTACCATAATGGGACACCCCAGTCTTTAATTCAGGATTTTTCAGCATCAAGTGATGTACAGCCATTCCGCCCCAGGAAAACCCAACGACACCAATCTTCTTTGCATTGCACTGCTCCTTTAGATACTTCAAGACAACATCAGCTTCCCTAAGACATATAAACAAAAAGAACTAAGACATTTACAGCAGAGTTTCTATCTGAAAATCTAAAAAGAAAACAAAAGTATATAAAATTGTCATGATCTTTCCTTCTGTCATTTAAAATTATTCCAATCCCAAATTAAACAATGCTGTTTTTAAATGTGAGTTAGCAGCTAAGGCTCTGAATCAAAAAAGTTTTCCTGTACTGGACAGCAATTAAGCATATGCTCAAAGTTAAACATTTGCTTCAGTAGAACTTAAGTACAGTGCATTAATCATGTGATAAAGTAATTATCTGAACTGTGGGCTATTGTGCCATTTCCAAGAAAACAAACTATTTCATTAAATTACTTCATCCAGAAGGGAACAAATACAAACAAGTTCAAATGTTCACAAATCGACAACCAGTGATGTAAAGCATTATTTTATCAGGACCATGGTTGTCAATCAGGGCTATGTGTATCCCTGTGGCCACACAGAGGTCTCGCAGGGGGTATGTCAACTCATTTAGATGCGACTAATTTTACAACAGGGTATAAAGTAAAATTTCATATGGACAATGACTTATTTTGGCTCCTCTATATATTCTACACTGAAATATAAAAACAATATTTATATTCCAATTGATTTATGATTATATAGTAAAATGAGAAAGTAAGTGTAGGAGAAAGAAAGATCCTGAAGCATGGGCCTGGTGCCTGAACCAAAGTAAGAGTTAGGCCTTGTCACAAGCAGATGTTTGCCTGTAAGTCAGTGGTTTTTTGCATTAGAACTGCTAGCGCTGCTCATAGCACATGAAATATGTAAATACATTTCACCAGGACAGTTCAAGGCCATCCCAACTTTGTGCACGATCAAATAGTTTGAAATAACAGAGGTGAAAGCGTACCAATGGGTGGTGAATAGGAATGCTCTGGAGGAAATTATAAGGGGAGGTACCAAACACATCATTAATGTGTAAAATGATATGTAAGGGGGGCATCATAGATTGTCTCAGTCTATAAATGTTGGGGTACCTTGACTTAACTCTTTCTCCAGACTAGGGGGCAATGTGAAATCCATACTATTGACTGAGCCTTGTCCATTGCGCGGATACAAATGCATAGGGGCTCAGAGGCGGTCTGGCTACCAACGACTATTCATGTACTTGGACAATAAACCTGACTTGGATGCCTTTGTATCTTATCTGCATCTATGGTTTTGGGGGGCTCTCTTGAAGTCTGTTAGGCTAGCTATCTGCACAGAGCTGGCATGATATACTGAGGGAGCATACAAAAACGCATGTAGCTGAACATTTATCATCACTGATGGAGCAAGAGACCGGTCAGGACACCACACCAGTGAATCCTGAGTTTACTACATTGCAGTCCTGACCTACTACAGTAAGCAATTTTCCAATACTAGTCACAGTGAAATGTTTGTATGTTTATGTCTTCATCTTGTAAACAAGTAGTTTTTAAATGAAGTGAAACATGGGGGGTATGCAAGACAAATCACACTCCTGAAAGAGTACAATAGTCTGAAAAGGTTGACAGCCACTGCTTTTTGTGAAGTATTGTGGAAGTAGAATTGCTTAGCTTGATCCAGAAAAAATGAAACACTTATCTACTTTAAAAATTACAGGACTACATTATGAACCACCTTCTAATTTGTGATGTAGCATAACAATTCCAGAAAACACCACTTGAGAGAATGCTAAGCAATTATTCAACTAAACATTTATTCAAAATTAATTTAGCAATAACTACTACACAAAAAGGTGATGTACTGCACGAAGGCCAAGGTAACAGATTTGGTAACTGTTTTTAATGTATACCATGGTCAATTTTTTTTTAATTACAAAAATCTCAACAAGCTTGAAAGATATTTGAGTTTTTAGAAGAGCCTGCTTTTTCATTTTTTAATTTTAAATGAAATTGTATTTTTTCAAAATTTGGTGCCTAAAGTAATAGCAAAGTGCACATTTTGGACAAGAATTCTGTAGGATACATATTCAGCAGCTATCTGATGAAAATTCAATAACATTTTTATACATACAGATTCTGGAACTTGAGTAGTTAAATGGTATGCTGGCAGGAGCAAAGGATAGTCCAGGAACACTGAGATACTCTTAAAGGGTTATGGTAGTGCTTAGTTGCCCATAAGTCGATGTTAGAGTAGATGGATGTACTCTAGCTTTGTCTATTTCTTGAAGTTTCAAAGTTTCTGGATGGATGCTGAAGAACTAACAGTGCCTCCCTAAATTCAGGAGCTGGTGTGTTGCAAATATCAGCATGGGCTACAGATAATTATCATTGTCCCTACATTTCAATTTTTATTTAAAAGTGGGAAAATTGATCAGAAGTATTTAAATGTCTTCCTCAAAAGAAAAAGTCTGAGAAGTAGTTGTGTTAGTCTGTAACCAGGTTATAGTACATTAACTGGGTGATAACATTTTTGCCAACTCTGTCCGCATATCTATAGAAACAACACCCTCGCAGGGTCTAAACACATAAGCCACAACATCAGGGGCTTATATACCTTCTATCAGATAACAGCAAGTGCCCCAATTACTAAGGGAGACAACTGAACTAGAATTAATTTACAAGTTCTACAGTATCATTTTAGGCTTAAATAAAGATTTTAATTGATTAACACACTACAAAGGCAATTTCCCCACCTTTGGTTTTCACATTTCCACATCACATGCTATGAATGAGACACGTCTAGCTTAATTAAATTAGCTTCATTAACACTGATCCTATAATTGACGGGTAATTTCTTTTGCTGTTATATATACCCTGGATTCTGTAATTTCCACTTCAACTCATATGATGAAGTGGGTTTTACCCACAAAAGCTCATGACCTAATACATTTGTTAGTGTCTAAGGGTATGTCTACATAGCAAAGTTATTTCGAAATAACTATCCTAGCGTCTACACAGCCATTCCATTATTTTGAAATTAATTTGAAATAGCGGAGGGCTTATTTCAAAATTGATAAACCTCATTCCACAAGGAATAACACCAATTTCAGAATTGCTATTTCAAAATAAGTGCAGTGTAGACACTTATTTCAAAATAGGGCCCTTTAGCCTTCCCATGGTGCCCTGGTGGCCACTCTGGCCTCAACCAAGAACACTCCTCTCCCTAGCCCCCTCCCCAGAGCCCTTAAAGGGGTTGACTCTGGCCACAGTGCCTGTGCCAACTCCAAGCCTGCCAGCCCAGAGCCAGCAGTAACTGCACCTGACCCAGTGGCTCCAAAACATGAGCCAGCAAGCCACTGGCAGCCAGCCCTCCACTGTTCCCCAGGAGCAGTCTGCTGATTCCCAGGAGCCTGCCAGGACTTGGAGAAGGTGGGCTCCTTCCTGGTCCAGGGTGGAGATCATGGACCTTATTCAGGTTTCAGGGGATGCCCCCAAAATCCATGATCTCCACACTAGATGAAGGAACGCAGCCATCTATGGCAGGATAGCTGCCAGCCTGGTCACCAAAGGCCACATACAAACCCAGGAGTTGGTCTGGCAAGCATCCAGAAAACTGTAGAAACCAGCACATTTATGATGCCTGGAAAAGCAAAACAAAAAAAAGAAAAAAAGGAAACTGGCCTTTTAAGTGCCAGGCCACTTCTCAGACAAGTGTGCAGCACATACCTGGAGGAGGAGCGAAAGGCAGCCGGAAGCAAGCAGCAAGTGTCATGGCTCCTCCTGTGCCTCCTGGCACCCCCAGTAGGCCAGCCCCCCTGTGGCTCCCACCTCCTCCCCCCAGGAGGCTGCCCCCACCATCTCTGCCTCTCACCCCCAG